ACTTATTCAAATTTATTATTCAAACAGTTTAAGGGTTAATTTTTGCGCAGCAAAATTACTAGGAGTTACGACAATAGTCGTCTACTTCTTCAAATTTGGTGTAACAAAGTTGCGAGTTCTTCATAGGTCAGGGTTGTTTCTCGAATTACTTATTTGAGGTGATGCTTCATTGACCTAACGACTCTAACTTCCCACAGTCCACCAAAATATCCGAAACTAGGTAATTTTTGAAGAAGTCCGCCATTCTAGATTTTTCTCAAATATCAAAAGTTTCACTTTGATTCGTTAGCTTGTTGAATTATCTTCCAAACATGCCAAAACAAAAAGGAATTGGTCATCAACAACAAAAAAAGTTACAGCTCAAAAATAAAATTCTAATTTTTTTGAACCAATAGGTGTGGATCTAAAGAAATAGGTACGTACCTACCTAGTTCTGGAAACTTGATGTTTGAATTTGAAAAGTGAACTCTGGTAAATTGTAGTTTCGATGGGCATGAGAAAATCCTATTTGTTTTCGATGTTCATTTCAATAAATTGTTCATTATTCGTTTAGTTATTCGCTAACTATGTAATAATTATTTTGTTTTCAGAATGACGTATTTCGGCGTAATCGAATATTTTCGTGGCTGGATTAAGCTTTTATAGGGCCCGGGGCTAGTGAAGTTTTAGGGGGCCCTTCATAAATTAAGTGCAAAAAAATATACAGGGTGTCCCACGACGTTTTTCCCAGGTAATAACTTCGGAACGCGTCATCCAATATAATTGAAATTTTGAGGATGTTGTTAACTTTTTATGCCGCTTCTACCATCGTCATCCAATTTCACCACTTTCGCTTTAATTTCGTTCAAGTGACATCAACTTTCGAATCTTAAATGACAATGATGTAACTCATGGTATATTATGGCCTTTTACGTTAGAAAATTAAATTAAAAAATCGTCAATGCTATGTTTGTTAAGGCTTTGTTAAAGAAAATGATAATAGTATATTCTTCAACGAGCATATAATGATGGCCATTATTCACGAGAATGAAAATTCAAACACGAGCCGAAGGCGAGTGTTGGAATCATTCGAATTCGAATAGAAGACTATACTTTCTCTTCGAACTCTTTGAAAGAAAATCATTAGTTTTTGTAAGAAATGACAATCATCAAAAGTTTGAACCCGCCTTAATTTTTTCTAATTAGGCAATGGCATGTAATATTGACAGTTGAGTTGAAGAGGGCGCTTCTGTACTTGGAGCTTTTTAAATTTTGGCGCGTAAATAATCGATTGTAATTTTAACCTCAAAAGTTAAATTTGATGTGTGGTTTTAAGACAAGCTGACGCTGACACTTTCAAAAATATTCTCTAAGGGCCACTGAACGCTTTGGAAGATATTTTAACCTCTTCATTGTCCATTGTTCATATGTATTCATCTTTCCTTCTTCTCATTTTAAACAATTTGTAACTATTGACATTTCCTGCCAAAATTTAAAACACTCCAAGTTCACTCGCGCCCTCTACAAAATTTTAGGGAACTTAACTGGATATTTGCTGCCATTCAATCCATCTGTCAGAAAGGAAAATTCAATGTGACGTGGCGGCCAAACAAGTTTGTTTTGAATATGTTTTTATGCGTATTTTAAATTATTATGCATACAGTTTTGCTTACAACTTTGATTTTCATTATTTAATAAAATATTTGTTGACTAGGTACCTAAACTATTAATTCGGGCAGAAACCAAGAATCGTAAACTCTACAGGATTGCTCAATCGGCTAAATTTGTTCACAATTGCTGTGACGTCACGTGCATCCCGGATCTTCAAGATGGCCGCTGATACGAATGATGTTCAGTTTGTGCTAACAAATATTTTATCGTAAATTCGGATTTATCAAGTGTTATAAGTGTAATTTAGAGTTTCATTTAATGTGTGTAAGCATAAAAGACTCGTGGTTGAAAATACTCGGGAAAACCCCAAGCATTTTCTGGTTTTAGTGGTTTTATAGTAGGTACTGGATTAATTGTATCAGGACATCGCTACTTTTATTCGTGTGTATTGCTAGTTTTCTACTGTTAGTATTTCCTAGTCAAGCATTTGTATTGCTTTTTTTTGTAAATCAAATATCTACTTAGTTGTAAGTTTCCTTTGCATGTAATTACTAAAAATTAGTGTTTCTGAAGAGTGAATAAATAAATATGTAAATAAATTCTTTTACTGGCGCGTTTACTATGAAAACGCATGGAAAATATGGGAAACTTGCAGTGTTTTTCTGGAATATGATTATGAAAATCTAAATTAGGTATCACTATTCGGCTTTCTGAAATAAGCTTACTTTGAATGTCCATATTAAATCGTTCTAGTACCTATTAAACTATTGAATAATAATTGAGAATTTAAAGGTAGGGGCCGTAAAAAATAAAACACACTATAGCAAAATTGATAAACAAAAACAAACAAACTCGTCTTTCTAATTAGCCAACCACTCAAGCTTCAAGGACACAAACTTTTGAAGTCTGCTAATTTTAAAATTAATTAATTAATTCCAAAATACAGTTTTCAAAGGAAATAACTTCAAAATAACAATTTTTCACGTTTGAAAATGCAAGGAAAGTGCACTGTCATAATAAAACACAAACTGATCAAGGACTGCGTGACGTCATTCGCATACCGCGATCTTCGATGTTTTTATGAACGTTTGTCTTATGGGATTGAGCAATCCTGTAGAGTTTACGATTCTTGGGCAGAAACTAGATATTTTTTTGTGTTTTTTGGCCCATGTGTGGCCGCCACGCCATCTTGAATGTCACGTGGTTTGAATTGCCTAATTGAAAGTTTCGTGATCTGACAGTAGACGTCAGTCATGTTTTGTTTGTATTGTCTCATTGCGGCCCGTGTATTCCGAAAATTCGGAGAATTTGATTGGTCGATAGGCCGTGGATTCCGATTATTATCCATGGGGCGTGTAGAATTCGTATCATTAATCATTTCAATATTGAGCAAGAATGAATGTATTATTTAATGTTCGAAGAGAAAAAATTATACAGTGGAACATACGATGATGCGTTCCGAAAAACCGCGTGGGACACCCTGTATATGAAAAAAAACTATATTCCTGATATAACAATCTGACACTGCTATACCTATTATCTATTCACAATCCGATGTCCAAAGGTAAAGGTAAAATGTATCACCTTTCAGTACTATTTGATCGGGAAAAGTGATAAATTTACCTTTACCTTTGGACTACGGATTGTGATTAGGATATACATGTTTTACAAAATTATGTCAAAATATATTTTTTCTACGACTGCTCCAGAAAGCTATCAAAAATGCACTACTAACTTACCTGGAAAATCAATTATTCCGCACAACGTGCGAAAAGTAACTTTTCACACGCTTTTGCGTGCGAAAAGTACTTTCCACTCGGTTTTGCGTGCGAAAAGTACTTTTCACGCGCTAAAATAAAAATGACACTTCTACTGAATATTTGTTTTGCAAGTAGCTCTGAGTGCATTCAACGTATGTACCAAAATGGTTCGTTGATATAATGATTTTATTATTTTTTTTCAAAAAAAAAAATTAAATTTCAATGTGAATATACCTAGTTATTTCGCAGTCCTAGAAAAAGTATAGTGTGTAACGTGTGTGAAAAACACTTGTTGCACAATATACTATTTTGTCATAACGCTCCCAAAAACAATTATTTTACGGACTCATTCAAGTCCGTAAAATGCTTCTTTTTAGGATTTTTTTTTCTTTATGAATGCACCTTTATGATTTCGAAAATTAAGGAAAATTTGCAAATTTTAGCGTTCTGAAGAATTCTAGAAAGCGTATGACAAAAAATAGTGTATGTCACATCATCTGCTATTCCGGACTCGGCTGACGCCTCGTCCGGAAACAGCAATGATTCGTCCTGAAAAACTTCATTTCAGGTACTTGTGACAAAAATAACTATTTTCTACTACCGTGCATAAAGTACTCACTTTATGCACTATTCAGAAGACGTAAAATTTCTCTTGAAGCATTAGTGCGTAAAGTAGTTCACTTCACACACTAGTGCGTAATTTAATAAATTTTGCGAAACATGACGTGAAAGACTAGTGCATTTAATATTTATTGTTTGCCCACGGGCCCTTGACGAGCAGAAGCCTCGATTTCAATAGTAGGGCCCCTCAGGGGCCCTTCTGGACTGCGGGGCCCGGGGCCCGGGGCTGCAGCCCCCCCTTAATCCTGGCATGAATATTTTTAGTTACAACCTAGTTAGAATGTAATAGTAGGAGAGCCGGTAATATTAACGGGTATGTGATCGTTGCAATGGATAATTTTTACATAAAAGAATAGCTCATAGCTACCTTTAAACTAAATGGATAGATGGCCTCGATTCTCATGGCCGCAACCCTTTGATGGGTGAGCGTAAACTACCCCTCTTTTTCCGAAGGAACAATGTTATCGTTGCAATAGCTGAAAATTGGTAGATATATTCTTTAATATGTTTTCTCAGATAATATATAGGGTGGCCTCGATTTTGATGGCCGGAAATGATGGCAGCCCTCATTGAAAGTCGAGCGCACGCGTTATTTTGCTTGCTAAATACAAATTTTTGAAAGTAACAGCCTTCAAAGTCACTTTTAAAGTTAAAAGAGGATTTTGCATACGGCTGTAAGTCTTTAGACAAAAAAAAGAAACATGAAATTGTGTTAATAAAGTGTTTGCCGCATATGATGAGAACCCCCTACACCGCAAGGTACTTCTTATTTGTTGCGCTTATGGTTCTTGACGTATCTTTTTATAAAACAACTTTACGGCCATGAGAATTGAGGCAACCCATCCATTTGGTTTAAAGGTTACTATGAACTATTGTTTTATGTAGAAATTATCCATTGCAACGATCACATACCCGCTATTATTGCCGGCTCTTGGACTATACTGGGACACCCCCTTTTTTTAAATAAAAAACAAAAGTTTACAAGTTTTGAAACAGTGTAGGTAGAGAATAGAATAAAAACGCATCATAGGAAGGGAAAAATATTTATTACGGTACGATTTCTCTTAATAACTAAGGACAAAGTTGTTTAGCTTGCGCAAGAGTTAGAAAAAGTTGTGGGAAAGAAACCCAAGTAAATTGTCCATGAGCAGATATAAAAAAGTTTGTCACTTCCTTGTTCTCATTCGTGCCGAAATCGTAAACATTTCCACGGAATTTTTTGCCGTCAGAAGTAAAACTCACATTACAGTTACGAAGAGCCTAAATAGAATCAGAAATTACACATCAGAATAAGAGCCTTCTGTTTCACAATAATTGTTGAGACAAACTTGAATTATTTCTTACCATAAAGTTTCCTATTACGTTATTTGAGGGAATTTCGTCTTTCACTTGGCTATGGAGAAAGAACACGAGATATCCATTCGGAATCCGTTGGGCACTTCCTAGAATCAGGCACGGATAAAAATATCCATACGAATAGGCGAGTAACATATTCGACATTGGTTTACTAAAAAAAAAGTTCATTCGATTAAACAATTGAGATTAGATACTTTTGAAATAATTTACTCAGAGCCCAGACAAGTCGAGGTCTTTGAAATATGGTTCGGATAGTTTAAATGACACATTGACTTACGATATATGTGATGGCAAAGTTAGTTCCAAATCATAATCTCTAAGTGGATCTTGGCCACTTTGTTTTGGTTCTTGTTTGGTTCCAGAGTTTCCCATTTATATTGTTTTGTTATTTTTTTATTTTTATTTTTTTGTTATTTCGTTTTAACGGTTGATTTTGATATTATGTATATAGAAGTGCTTGAAAAAATGTATGACGGAATTGAGTGACATTGACAAATTCTATTTTTTTCAGAGCATAATCTATCTATACAGTGCCCGCGGAAAAGTCTGCACCATATGGGAATTTTTTTATGCTCATCCTTACTTCAAATCGGTTTTTGGCATTAGATTCTGCATGACTGAAAACCAAAAAAACAACTAAAATTTTTGACTCGAGACTTGCCTCATACCTGTCAAATGCCATTTGAAAATTTCAAACAAGGAAAAGTGGGAAAAGTGGCATTTTTATGAAAAATATGAAAAAATTTCATAAGAAAATATTGTTCCAAATGACATTTAGAGTCTAATTTGATATTTTTGCTTTGAAAAAAATATATTTATTTTTTTTTTAATTTTTTTTGAATATCTACGGAAAACTAATATTTTTAGGATTTCTTTCGCGACCATTCCTCTAAAATAATTAGTTTGTATCTGACTAATGGTTTTTCAAATCCTAATAATATAATTAAAAGTTTAAACATCAAAAAGAAATATTTCTATTAAAATCTTAATACGCCTCTGGACTATTTTAAAAATTGTTTACTTTGAAATATATTTTTTTCAAAGCAAAAATATCAAATTAGACTCTAAATGTCATTTGGAACAATATTTTCTTATAAAATTTTTTCATATTTTTTATAAAAATGCCACTTTTCCTTGTTTGAAATTTTCAAATGGCATTTGACAGGTAGGTATGAGGCAAGTCTCGAGTCAAACATTTTAGGTGTTTTTTGGTTTTCAGTCATGCAGAACCTAACGCCAAAAACCGATTTGAAGTAAGGATGAGCATAAAAAAATTTTCCATATCGTGCAGACTTTTCCGCGGACACTGTACAGGGTGGTCCAAATTGGACACTTTCTTATGGAAACACCCTTTATTTTTAGAGATAAAAAAAAATGGACCACCCACTCTGAGGCTCAAATTTCATGAAATTTTGATTGGTGCAAACCGCATTTTGATATCTTCAACCGTTTAGGCGCTAGAGGGCGATTCTCGACGAGCAATACTGTAAAGCCTGCATAACTTTTTTGTTTATGGAAATAATTTATTTCCGTAAAGACCTTTTGGAAGCACTTTTTCAAGCAGAATTCAGTGACGTTCTCAGTTTTTTTCTGTCTGGCTTCGATTTCGAGATATTGACCAAAATCCGATTTTTTTCAATAGGACACTCTATATATTAATAGTTCATTAGAAAGCTATGCTTTCGCTTATTTTAATGATACAGGTTTGATAGATTTATCTTTAACAGTATTCGAGAAAAAAAATTATTTCGGTTTTTGTCATAAGAAACAATGTGTAAGAAAGAGACCTTTCTCAGTTTCCTTACAGAGATAAAGTCCTTTTCCAACACATTGTTTCTTATGACAAATACCGAAATAATTTTTTTTCTCGAAAACTGTTAGAGATAAACCTATCAAACCTTGTATCATTAAAATCAGCGAAAGTATAGCTTTCTAATGAACTATTAATATATAGAGTGTCCTATTGAAAAAAATCGGATTTTGGTCAATATCTCGAAATCGAAGCCAGACAGAAAAAAACTGAGAATGTCACTGAACTCTGCTTGAAAAAGTGCTTCCAAAAGGTCTTTACAGAAATGAATTCTATTCATAAACAAGAAAGTTATGGAGGCTTTACAGTATTGCTCAAAATCGAGAATCGACCTCTAGCGGCTAAACGGTTGAAGATATCAAAATGCGGTTTGCACCAATCAAGATTTCATGAAATTTGAGCCTCAGAGTGGGGGGTCCATTTTTTTCTATCTCTAAAAATAAAGGGTGTTTCCATAAGAAAGTGTCCAATTTGGCCCACCCTGTACATACATATCTATATATATAAAACACAGTTGTGTTGGTGTTGAGCACTTATAACTCGAGAACGGCTGGACTGATTTTTATGATTTTTGCTTTATTGGATTTGTCTTTGTCCATCCTAAGATAATAAATCAAAAAAATCAAAAAAAAAAAACAAAAAAAAAAATTTATCTATTTTACTTATTTATGAAAAAAACTCACTAAGCCCGCATATGGTGCCATCTCTTATAACCGATACCAAGTTTACCGTCACATTTTCATTGCAAACCATGTGGATTTTATTGTCACACACTTTGCACAAAAACAATTTGAGGAAAGCACTTTATTTTTAATTGTTCTTCACAGTAAAAATGTCCAAAAATAAATAGAATGCCAATGTTTTAATTGTGTATTTTATTTTGTTGTTGGTTTGTTCATTCCGAAAGAGCGCGAACTGGTCTCCCTGTCATTACTTGACGCTTGACCATTGACGTTCTGTGGCTAAGTTCCGTTTCTCCTCTTAGGCATCCCTTGACAGCCGTGTTCCGTGGCGACTGTTCGGAGTGCTCCGTCCGGCTGGTGTCGAGTGGCAGAGAGCCAGGTTATGAGTCCGCCACAACCATTTTGTATACTGCGCCATATATGATAGGTACCTAGAACAAAGCTCGCCGTTGTGCGGTAATTTCATTGCAGATACAGTAGAACAGAATACTGCTAAGGAACTGGAGCGATTCCAAACAGAACTATTCCACTATTCCGATCAGATAAAGTGGTGCAGAAAGAGTAGATCAGATAGAATAGTGCAGATACAGTAGAACAGATGGAGTATTGCAGTGCAGATAAAATGAAACAGGACTGCGCTGGAGATTTTTTTTGTTTTCTTTACATTTTTTGAACATTCTTGTGCCTGAGTTTATTTATTTGGTGGTAGACTTTATAAGAATAATGCCCACAAGCTGCCTAAAAAGGGATGATGTAAAATTTTAATTTTAGGTGACTTCTGATCCAGAGAGTAAAAATTAATTTTCTTCAACCAAAGTCAAATTCACCATAGAAAAAAACTGAATTTAATTCAGTTAATAAAATCTGTTTTTTTTAGAGATGGGTCCGAACTGTTATTTTGGTATAACAGTTATAACTGTTACTACTATTTTCAATTAACAGTTTAAAATAACAGGTTGCTGCAATTATTATGTATCTCCAACTTTTTCCTGATAGATGACAGCACTCACTGTCGGCATGAAACAAACAGACCTAAAGAAATCACCTAAAGTGCGACAAGTGAGTGAACCTTGGTAACGTATGAAGTAGCAGAGAGGAAGACGAAAACCTATACTATTATACGACGCGACGTGTCTCCGACGTGGTGTATTTCGAAAATTGCGGTTACCCTGACGCGACGATCCGCGTATATGTATATTTAATCTCGCGCCAATCAGGAGCGTTTTGGCCGCATTCCTTCCACACAGGTTCACTCGTCGCATTTTACTAACTATTCTATTTTTGTCTTTCAATAAATAAAAAAATTGAAAAAAAACTTCAATAATGGGAGTTTGTTTTTTTGCCTATAAATATAAAACTCTCCTCGCATCCTCTGGGCGTGATTCTCTTTTTCCAAAGCCCTAACCGAAATTAAAAAAGGAAAAAATATGCAATAATCATTATATTATCTATTATTAGAGGTGAGTTGCGATTTCACGAACTGTGACTTTGTCACTGCTACTCGTCTGTCACAGTCACAGTCTGCTCCAGTCACATACAAGTAGCAGTGACATTTTGTCACTGCCCGCTTTAGCTCCGACCGATGCAGCGCGGACTAAACTCGAGCTAAGTGATGCAAATGAAATAATATAATACTATAAATCGTATCGCGGTCACGCAAAATAAAAACTGCTACTGCAGAGGGCGAGCTGGAAACTGATCACTGGAACATCTCTCTCGGCCGTGACTGTAGACTGCGATTATGCCATGTTTCGCTGTAGCATTAACTTAATATTAGCAGTACGGCCGCGAACTAGCGTAAAACTGCTCCAAAAAATCACTGCTATTTGTCACAGTGACACGAATGGAGCAGTCACGTCTTGTCACAGCTCCATTAAAATCGCAGGTTGGCCCACCTCTATCTATTATCCAATTGTTAGGTTATGTTATTTTATTTGAATAAATAAAAAATTCCCGCGTGCCAAAATTGTAACAGAAACCTGTTATTTTTCACTATCGACAACAGTTCCTGACTGTTATTTAGAAATAACAGTTACAAAATAACAGATAGTTAAATAACAACCCATCTCTAGTTTTTTTTTTTAAAGATAATCCCCCAATTCAAAAATTTAGTAACTATGTTGGCAACACAAGCCTTTTCTACATAAAAATTTTGAAAGCATTGACAATTTTACATTGTCTCACGGGCTCACCTAGCCAAACCAAATGTTTAGGCTTTGTTCGGACTATTTATTAGATGGTTTATGTGAAGTTTGCACAAAATCGGTCGAGCGGTTCTTCATTTATCACATTTTTTGTAATAAATGAATTATTCAATAAATGGAGGATCATTTTGTTAATAAGGATTTTGCTGTCAAATTGAAACTTTTTTTCAGCGTTGACAGTACTAGCATGTTGTTATGTCATTAATGTGGTGATTTCATTATTTATTTTATTTATTTATGAAAAAAATTTACTAAGCCCGCAAACGGCGCCATCTCTTATAACCGATACCAAGTTTATTTTGAATTTGTATACCGCGCCATCTCTGATACCTGGAACGAAGCTCGGCATTGCAAATACAGTAGAACAATGCTGCTCAGGAACTGGAGCTATTTCGAACAGAACTATTCCACTATTCCGATCAGATAAAGTGGTGCAGAAAGAGTAGATCAGATAGAGTAGTGCAGATAGAGTAGAACAGATGGAGTAGTGCAGTGCAGATAGAGTGAAACAGGGCTACGCTAGAGATTTTTTTTGTTTTCTTTACATTCTTTGAACATTCCTGTGCCTGAGTTTATTTATTTGGTGGTACACTTTACAAAAATAATGCCCACAAGCTGCCTAAAAAAGGATAATGTAAAATTTTAATTTCAGGTGACTTCTGATCCAGAGAGTAAACATTAATTTTCTTCAACCAAAGCCAAATTCACCATAGGAAAAAACTAAATTTCATTCAGCTAATAGATACGTTAACACAACATTTAATAGGTATATTTAATAATTCAGAGGCGGT